TTAAGAAAATGAACATAGCATTTGATTCTGCTTTCAAGCTTCTTTTACGAGTATTGTTCTTTTATTTAAAGAAAAAACTAATGAATCGGAATAAATTAGTATTGCAACAAGTTTTGCTTCCTTACTTTTATATACGCTACGCGGTTCCTGAACTACATTGTCCTTCATCCGCATGAATTTAACGCTTCGTGGCTTAAGAAGCCTCTACAACCGCCATCTTGGATTATAAAATTTTTTATTTATGCTTTATCGATATATTTTTGTACTTAAACTTTTGATGATATAGTATTATTAGACAGCACAATACCGTTAAAAAAAAAAGGTTGAAAGTAATGGGGTCACTTTTTTAGATTAGGAGAAATAGCTCTTGGTAATTTTTAGAACCGCTATGAATTTTTTCCTCAAAACTATAAAACAATATAATGACGCGATTTGTGGTTTTGAGTAAGTAATTTAACACTAGATTGCCGAAGGAAGTCATTTTGACTGCTTTTTAATTTCAATTACAAAAACAATGATGTATATAATGACGCAATTTCTTAGAATTTTGTGACTTTATTGGTACAACATATAATTTTTTTTATTGTTAATGTTTACTAATAACTTGTTATATAACTGTAAATAATATTAAAAAAATTTTAAAAATTAATTTCAAACAAATTTCTTTACACATTAGTTATTCTTTCACAATCCAGTCATTTTAACTGCTTTTCGGCAATATAGTTTCAGTCATATTAAGTTTCAGTCTTTCTAGTGTTAAAACTACGCGTATCTCAATTTTTAGATTTTTTCTAAAATTTAATTTTATTATAGTTTTTATTGATGAAAACTGATTTGGATTATCCTAAGCCAGTGTTTCCCAAACTTATGACTTCTGTTTAACCTTTCTGAATTTTTCGTACAGCTGTGTACCAATAATAAAAAAATGAATGTATTTTTTAAATCACAACTGGCTGTTGACACCGCTTACTATTAACNATTATCTTAAGCCAGTGTTTCCCAAACTTATGACTTCTCTTTACCCTTTCTAAATTTTTCGTAAAGCTGTGTACCACTAATAAAAAAAATGAATGTATTTTTTACTATAAAAAAAATTACACAAAAGTTAAAAATCACAACTGGTTGTTGACACCGTTTATTATTAACTGTTAATTCTGAAAAAAAAAAAAAATAGCCAATAGAAAAATACGTAATCGTAAATTTTCACGGCTAGCTTTGTTTTTAAATAAAATTTTTGGAGCATTTGCATAAGAACGCGTACCCCCGCTAAACTGTTCCCGTACCCTTGGGGGTACGCACTAAGGGAAACACTGCCCTAAACGATCCTTTGTGTCTAAGTGCATAAAAACAAAGATGTTTATCAAAATCTTAAAAACAGGCAACTGTGTACTATTGAACTACCAATCAAAAACTGTTGATTGCAGAATTGTATTGGTCAAATTTTATCAGACAAAATAAATAATCTAAAATATTTTTGTGAAAATTAAATTAAAAGAATTAGAAGAACATATAGAATTTTTTTCCGACCACCCCTTCAACAGTTGAGTTCTATCGGGAGAGGAAGGGGCAGCATTGCGGTATTAGTATTTTGGTGCATTAGAGCAAATCGGTGGCCATTTAGTTCGCCTACACAAACTTACCGCTTCACGGTTCTACATAGTCGTCCCCATGCACGAACTCAGATCTTCGCGGTTCAATAGCATAATAGTTAGAATTGGCTATGCTGCTTCAAACACCTGGTAGTAATTGGAGATAACGGGGTATTTAGTATTGCTACCTATTGGGTGAAGAACTGACATCTACAGAAATAAAACTTTTTCTTTTTAAATTTATCCTTGCAATTTGATAAGGAACATACGGTACAATTTTGAGGCTTCTAATTTGGCTGGAAAGTGTTATTTTATTTCGCATTACTGTAAATTCGGATGATTATCCCTAATTACCCCAATAATTACAAAATATCAGGATGTAACCTTTTTAGTTTCTCCCCTTTTCTGTTAAGAAACACGTGATCGAAATTTAAGACTTCTATCTTTGTGGCAGACACTTATTTTGCAATTGTTGCAATTTCCCCGATAAATACAAAATATTGAAATGAAACTTTTCAGTTTTTCTATTTATGGTATACATGTTCTACGTTTGAGATTTCTATCTTGGTAAAAATTCTATTCAGCATTATTGTAAATTAAGTTAATTGCCCCCATAATTACAAAATATCGAAATTTTTTTAGTTCTTCTTTTTATGTGAACACGTAGTAGAAATTGAGATTTTTATCTCAGTGGCAAATTTTAATTAACATAACTTTCAATTGCAAAATATACCCCCATTAATTATAAAATATAGAAATGAATCTTTTCAGCTTTCATATTTATCGCATGGTCCAAATTTGAGACTTCGATCTTCGAGTTATTTAGCATTAATGCCAATTAGGCTAATTACCCCAATATTTAGAAAATATCGAGAGGAAAAATCCCTTTATCAGATAATGAAGAGATGGTCGAAATTTGAGATTCCTATCTTTGTGACAAGCTTTTATTTAACATAACTTTCAATTGAGGTAATTATTCCAATGACTACAAAATATCGAAATGAAAAACTCTTTTTATCTTATATTGAACAAATGCTCAACATTTGAGCGTTCTAACTTCATGGGAAATTGGAGTATTCGTGACGTGTGAGAGAGGACTTTTATTAGACTAATTGCCCCTTAATTACCCCGATAATTACAAATTATCGAAATGAAATTTTCTTTGTTTCTCTCTTTATCTGCTAATGAATATGTAGTGTTCTTGAGACTTCTTAGTAAAAACATGTTTTTTAACACTAATCCTATAATTACGAAATATTGAATTGAAACTTTTTTAGTTTTTATATTTAAATCATAAAGAACGCATGATTCAAATTTTAGCTTTCTATGTAAAGTGGGAGAATGAGTGGTCAGTGGAGATTTTGCCTTTTATATATACAGATCACATATTTAATAAGTTTTATAAGCAGTTGTAATTAAACAAAAACAGAACCTCATGGTTATAATTGATATTAGATGAAATAGATATTTGTTAACCAGCAAATTAATTTCATACAGCTAAAAAAATTATATAATTTATAAGTTTCATTTTCATGTAATGTATATTTAGTTTCTTTTCCCCCTCTTTTGAAAACCAATAACAGTCTTATGTTCCCCTTCCTTTTTGCTAGATAAAACTTATATTGTATGCATGTTTTGTTAAAAGAGAATTATATATCAAATCTAATCTAATCTATAAATAGGGCTGGGATAGCCTGGTTAGTAGAGCGCTGGTGTTCAACTCCAGCCGGTCGAAGACTTCCCATGTAGCAAATGGTAACTGGTGCAAGTTGAATCTGTCGCGTCACAAAGTCCTCCATGTTCCCATAACAAATTACACTTCCGGGGGTACTGGATTGGAAATTGATATTTCTATGGTTTAAGTCAAAATTACGATTTGTGGATGATTGAATTTATAAATGGGTTTGCTCTATCACGGGGTGTGGCGTATGGGTGTGGCAGAAGTCAAATTCTTGGCATAGTTGGTGCTACTGTATAACAAGAACAATCGCACTCCATTGCCTGAATGGTCAACGACATCCTATCATAAATAGAGCTAATGTTTAATGCTCAATCAATTAAAAATTTTCCCACAAAGAAAGTAAAAGTATTGATTTAGTTGTTTGAAAAAATAAGATGATGAGTCTTAATAAAAATGGATGAGTTCCACGTTATTAAGATCGATTAGTATTTAAGTATATTTTCCAGAAAGATATAAAAATCCACTTTCCAGTATTAAATCTTTCTTCTCTCTATGTACACCACTAACTTGGTAGAGATATCAAAGTTTAACTTTTACTTAAGCAATGTACATTGTTGTATAAAATTTATTCTGAGTACCTTATATTAAATAAGAGTATTTGTGCAGCTTAAAAATATTTTCAGCGTGTATCAATAATTAAAAAGAAAATGATTTAAGTTGAAAATAATTTTATCATGCCGACCCTGATTATATTATCAGCAATTGCTTCAGTGCTCAAAATAATTTGAAAACAATTATAATTATATTATAATTTTAAAGATTAATTTCTAAAACATGTACAACGTCACTTTTGAAATATTTCGCGAAAATAAATTAAACAAATCTCGTCACTTCAAATAATAAAAATTAGAATTTAAATTTTCAGTTAAAAAGAACACAAAATCTGCAACATTAAAAATATTCAGAATCTAGTTCATTTTTCTAAGATGAAATTCTTATAATTAATTAAATGGTGGTATAACTTTGCGTTCTGAATAAATATAATATAAAACATTTTTATACATGTAAATATTTATTATATGAGGTCAATCAAATAATTGAAGTTAGCAATTAATAGTTAGAACATTTATTTCAATCATTAAACAATTTAATACCTATANTATATATATATAATTTATTAGTTAATTTAATCAGGCATGATAAAAAATACCATAAGAATTCTAATAGTTTTGGTGTCCAATTTGTCATCCGTATTTTAATGACATAGCATTTTAGCTGTTAAATCAATTGTTCTCTTCACCAAATGTTTGCATTTCACATGTTAATTCCGCCGAAAATATCGTCTGCAACTCAAGCAAATTATGTGATAAATGAGGAATAATTATCATTATTTGCAAGAAATAGATAACTAAATTTTTGTGTCAGCTCAGAACTTCAACTTCATGCTTAAAGCCATCGTTATTTATTTTACATTTATCAAACGGCATTGTTGCAAAAAATCTAGCTACTTATTGTAGTTAAATTCACGAGTTGAGTTAGCAATTATTAGTTGGTGCATTTTTCAAATCGACAATAGTTTCAACTTCTATCAACAATTTAAAAAAAAATAAATAAATAAGCGATTTAAGTTAAAATCTTTTAATCTAAATAGCAAAAAATATTTTTCAAATAATGTAAAATACTTAACACAATCAGTTCGGTCGAGCAAAATAGAAAAAATATTTACTTACGAATTTTAACTGTTTTGGCATCCAGTTTGTCAATAATGTTTTGGCAGTTTTGTATTTTAGTTGTCAAATGAGTAGTCCTCTTGATCAAATGTCTGCATTCTACATTGATTCCACTAAAAATATTGTCCGCTACTCTAGCAAGTTGTAGTATATGGCGAATGGCATTAACCATTCGCTTATTAGCAGACAAATAAACGTCTAGATTTTCTGTTTTTGAGCGTAATTCAGATTTCTCATCTTCTTGTTTAGAGCCATTATTTATTATACATTTATAAAAAGGCATTGTTGAGAAACAAACATCGCTAAAGCTTTAATTTCAAAATCTTAAAGTCCAAACAGTTCAGAAGACAAAACCAAAAGTTATTTTAAGATCAAAATAATTTCAAGTATTAAAATTAAAAAAACGCAGAAACTTTTTTTTCAGGTTTTCACTAGTTAAATTTAAATTATACTTATCATATTTAAAACAATCTTCATCGTAAAATCTCAGAATGCATTCTTAATCTTTCCAGCCCAAATGAATTCGATGTTATTAGTCAAGCTTGTTCAGTCAACGAGATCTAAACTTTCAATAACACGTGTTTCTGGGTTTGTTTTTCAATGATTTCTTCAAAATTATGAAATCGTTATCCTAGTGATTACGCAAATAAATCCTTGAGGAAAACTAGAGTAATGCACAATCCATTTTTTTGCAAATTAGCACTTTTAAAGAGACGTTTTCCAATCAATTCAAAGTTCCCACTTTTCGCGTGTTTACATTCTAAACATCTGCTACGCGCACCACCTGCCTTTCATCTACCAGACACGTTGAAAAAGTCCCAAAAAGTGATCTGAGCAAGTTCCACTTCCTGCTACCTCTCAGGTAATAACAATGAAAGCAGATTTCCATGTTGGAAGGGCAAAGTTCACTTTGACTGGAATGTCCTTTCTCTTCGAAGCTGTTTTTTTCTCTGTCTTCGTGTTTGATTCGAATTTTAGAAACGCTTACTCATCAAGTTTATTGTTAATGTTCTCCGTTTAATGCTATTTTAACTAGAATATTCTTACGGTTTTGCTTACTAGAATCCATAATGTTCTCACATTTCTGCTCAAAGGATTATGTACTGTTAGAATATATTGTTCTACTTTATTATATACTGTTATCAGTACCGACTTTACGGATGGGCAGTGTCCGGGGTCCCTCAAGCATTCAGGGGTAGTTGAAAATCTTATTCTTATAAATTGTATCAAAAAATAAAAATAAACAGCATTGCATTATATAATTTCTAAAATAAATGTATTTTTATGTAAAAAGTGTGCATTTTTATTCCCCCCCCCCACCTACAAATAGTGGTTGATTATCATGCAATTATTTGAACAGTTTATCACCAAGAAAACCTTAAAAGTCAAAACTCTGTTTAGTATTTATAATGAGTTAAATAAATTAATAATTGAAAGAGTTTAGAATTACAAGGCACTAAGGGACAACAACTTTTAAACTGGTTATGTCTGATAAGCATTGAAAGATGTTTTAATAACTGACTTTCATAGTTTGACGAAATAATTAATACTCTTTGAATTTTTATTTTATTTCTTATACCCTTATGGTTTTTTTTAAAATTTAATTATCTTAATTAGATTCTTGATTTTGAAAATCATTTTCGGAATCGATCGTCAAGCACTTATTCAATTGCACGGCAGAGTAGGTAAATATTGAAGACTGATTTTGGCTTAGGTCAGCGAGAAAAAGGGAATCAGTAGAGAGAAGCTCCCCCTGTTTGAAATGTGCTATTTCTAGCAACAGGCATAGACTTTATGTGGCGAGGGGAGTTCTTCCTATAGGCTAAGTATACCATATTTACATGTTGTTGCTTAATTCACGGTGCCTGTGTAGTTATAGACTGTCTATGGAAAGAACTCCCTTCGCCATTCGTCTGGAGCAGTGGCGGTCACTATGGATGCAAAGTTTAACTATTTCAAGTAGGGGTCAATATTTAAGGCTAGGATCAGAGAGAGAAAAAGAATCATAGGAGAGTAGAGTTCCTGATTTCTAACTTTCAGTTAGAGAGCTGCGACAATGGCTTCAAAAATTGTTCGAAACAGTAGGGTTACAAAAGAGAAAGAGATAGTGGAATGATTACCATACTTGACGACTCTTTCTCTCACTTTTTTCCTCCGTTCTTAGCTTGCTCAGTAACTTTTATTATTAATTTCATTTTTTGAAATTTTTATTTAAAGTATTATGTGATGTTTGAATTAAAGATTTGACTCGGTCTTATAAAAAAGAATTTAAAAAAAAAGATCTTAATAGATGAATAGCATTTTAATTAAAAGAGTGAGTTATTGATAAATTAGATTGATAACAGTTTTTTTTCTTTAATTTTTTAATTTTAACTATTTAAGTAAGTATTTTAATTTTAATGTAAATAACCTTTCATTTTATTCAAATTTTTGTTAACTCAATGGAGTCTTGATGTCCTTGAGGTGAAATCCCAATAAATGAATGTTCGCATCGAGGGTAACTTGCAGTCAAAATTTAAATTACTTTCCGACTAGCTAGAGCACTCAAAGCTTCGTGTCTGATATCAATGCAAGGTTCAATAAATTTCCCCCCATTACCAGCAGAACCCTCAAAGATAATTTTTCGTCAATCTAACTTTCCGATTCCTTGAAGATTGGCTAGAGCTTTAAAATTTTAACTGAAGCTCTATTCTGGATTACAATACTATTTATAATCAGTTCCCAGCCACTACAAGCAGAATTTAGGATGTGATTATTGCGAAAGGTAACTTATCATATTACACATTTTTGACCACTTTCTGATTAACTAGAGTGCTATCATTATTAGAGTTCCTCTTAGTTTAACAATACAAGTTTCAATCCTTTCCAAAACAATCAGAATTTCTCATCATATTATTATAAACATTGCTGGTAAAAAGTTTCGCCCACTTTCTGAAAAACTAGAGTATTTAAACTCCATCTAGAGATCCGAGCCTGATAACAAAGTAAACAATAATTATTTCCCGTTAATTATGCCACAAGCAAAACTTATCAGCATGTTATTACTACAAGAAATGTATAGTCAATCAAAAATTCAACAACTCTACGATTAGCTAAAGTGCTTACATTTTTAATGAAACTGGATGATATCAAGTTTTAATCGTTTTTGATTACTGTATGCAGACTTTAGAACAATTTTGATTCCTATATGCAGACTTTAGAAAAATTTGTCTTCTAACCGAATTTCGGCCTCTTTCCATCCAGTTAATGTGTTCTTAAATGAACTGAAACACTGTTACATGGAAATGCTTTTTTAAATTATTTCTTGACCTACTCACGCATAATTTAGATCGTCAAATAAAATTTATCATCAATTTAAATTTTGATCTCATTTTGGTTAGTTACAGTGCTCAAACTTCAACATGAGCTCCGTGTCAGATGACAAAAATCATTTTCTAAATAGGTCAAGGTAAATTTATAGCCAAACGAAATTCATTCCATCTTTATCTAACAGGCATAAAACAAAAAAGTAGAAAAAATAAATTAAAAAACATTGAACTACGTTTTTCAAGTGGATGGAAAAATTAGAAAGTAATTCGATTTTGTCATACGAAAAATGCTATGAGCAACATTTCGGTAATTACCTTCCATCACCACCGAAAATTTTCTCTATATCTTTCGAAAGTGATGAGCCTTACTTTTTTAGTTTCCAGTTTGTTAAAAGAAATTATTTTTTCATTTTTCCCCCCAAGTTTTTTTTTAATTATAATAATTTTTTCTCAATTTCAATTTTAAACTGAGTGAAATTATAGTCATTGAATTCTTTAATGAAATAATTGTGTCATTAAATTCTGAAAATAAATTTTAAATATAGAGAAAATGAATAGTAACAAAACTTTTGGCAATGCTGAGAAAATTCTTTCACTCAACTTTATCAATGAATGTTGAAAGCTTAATTTTACATCTAAATATCTCAATAATTGCTTATAATATATTTAGTAATTTATAATATATTTAGAGTAATACATATGTAATGTATTTAACGGGGCAACACAAATAAGTTAATTCTGCAGAAGATGGAATTAGTCGAATTACGCTATATAAATTTTCAATACTGTCTTGATTTTACATGGGTGTTAAAATGAATGATTTTTCCAGAAGTAAATAATTCTGTAAATGCAAAATCTAATTAGTTGTATTCGATTAGTAATATAATTAGTATAGTAATCAATAGAACACCAGCCTATATTGATTTCGATGCATGAAAATATTCGTAGGATTTCTTTAATATGACCAATATATCACTATACTTTTCCCCATGGGGTAAAATGATCACAAAACTTTAATTACTTATATATTGCACAGTTTTCAGCGAATTTATTTCAAATTTTATATCGAAAATTTATTTTAAATTGCTTTTTATATTTTAAATTTTGTTTAATTTAATTGAATATATTAAAAGCTATAGCAAAAAAAAAAGAAAAAAAAAAAACGAAAGACGAAAAAATATTCTTTTATAAAAAATTTTATATCTTCATAAATATTTAAGCTAAGTTTACGAAATTTTGTATAATTATTGCAAAAAAAAACCAAAACAATTGTTACAAGTTTATAGCTACATTTTTTGGCGTAGGGTGTATAAAAACACTAATTTCCGTTTGTAATATATTGTAGATCCCTCAAACCTCTAAAAGTTTTAAACTTCATTGATATGTTTTAGAAATCAAAACATTTCTGAAGTTATAAAATGATTCTTTACGTATTTCTTGAGAAATATAAAAAAACGTATTAATACAGTAGTGTTTCCATTATTTTGTCACCCCCTGTATAAAAGGAAAAAAGAAAAGAAAGAATAACTCGGAAAATTAAGAAAAATAATAAGTTTTATTTACTGAGCATAAGCTGCAAGTCTATAGAACTCATAAAATCAGTTGAAAATAAAGAGAAAAAATGGGGAAATATAATGAAGATCAATAAAGAGAGAAAAAGAAAAATTATAAAAACAAAATATTTTAAAAAATATTCAAGAATTTTATTTAAAAAAAATTTAAAAAGTCAAAAAGCAAAATAATGAAAAGACATAATCTTGTCATCAGCTCACACGATTATAGCCGCAAAAAAGAGTACTTTCTTATATTGTATTAATATAGCCAAAGCAAAATATATCAATACAATAGTGGGAGGAGCTCCCTAAAAATTGAAACGAACGTGGAACAAATTGCTTAAAAAATACAAAATAAAACATCTCAAGCAAAACATTGAAAGTAAAAAGCAAAAGAAAAAAAAATGCTGAATAAAATACAAAGTGTAATACATAAAGCGAGTAGTGAATTCAAATGAGCTGAGACATACCGGAATCTTTCAAAAATGATTTAAAATATTTTCGTAACAAGTTTGCCAGATTACAAAACATGAAAATAGAAGTGTAAATAGAGGATGGAGGGCCTTCTTATGGCGCGTTCTTACTGAAATACTGAAGCGTGTTTTATTAATTAGTTACCTTTGATTGGCCGGAACAGGATACTGTGATCAAGGAAATTATATTATACTGCATAGTTCAAGGTTGATTATTAATGAGGTTGATTTTTAATTATACAATTTTGATGATTTTAAAGAAATTAACATTCATAAAAGAAAACTATTTAAATTTTTTTTGAACACTTTCAGTTATGGATTTGCCCGAATTGGATTTGCAGATTTATCATCTGCAAATTTAGTAAACAAAGAAATTTTTAATAAATTTATTAATATTAATAACTTACAATTAATTCAATGATTTTATATCGAACATAATTACATTAGATGGGTGTCCATAGCTTTTTTTTTTCTTCAAATTTTGCAAGAGTTAGTCTATTTGTAATTTTGGATGAATAAAGAAAGTACGTTAGTTTCTGTCTTGATTCTCAAATGGATTAAAAACTTTTAAGTTGGTAAACTATATGGAAATGAGAACTACATGAAACATAATTCGAAAAGAAAGCATCGGACAAATGTTTTTGACAAATAAATACGAAAGATATCAAGGAAATTATCGTAGTACATTTCTATACAACTGAGAGGAGAGGAAGGGGTAGAGTCAAGACATGGAACCAGTCTTCTCCCCAGATGGCGTGTTGCGATCTCAAA